AGGCTTTTTAGGAAAGCATAAAGGAAAGTCACGAGAGCTTAAGCTCAAAGTAGACAATATCACTGTAGAGAGTCGTGATTTTTAACATCGTATCATAGTTATGTCTTTAACTTAGCTATGTTAATAGAATACTCAATTGTCGAACAAAAAAGGTCGTGAGCCTCGAAGGTTTAGTCAAAAGTGACTCAATTGTCGAACAAAGGGTGTACTTTGTTCGAGGACTTTATAGATGGAGTCGAGCCTAGATTATGGAGAGGCTGTTCGAGGGCTCCACAAACTTCAAGGGAGGCTCTACTTGTTCGAGAGGAGGATTGTTAGGAGAACAAAGGGTGTATTTTGTTCGAGGACACTCCAGAGAAGGAGTCGAGCCTCGATTAAGGAGAGGCTATGCGAGGACTCCACAGGTCTCCCGGATTGTTGAAGATGGTCGGAAGGGAGTCCCACGTTGACTAATTTAGAGAATGATCCTCGATTGGCCCAAACAAAAGCCATAAGAGCTTATGTCCGACAGAAAAAACAAGAGAGGTTAAAAAGACAGAGCAGCTACATTTCAAGCACCCAAATCCACGAGCAAAGCCATCGCCGACGAATCCATCGGAACACGAACATCTAACCCCGTCAGGAACGGCGGTGGCATTAACAACAAACCCATTCTTATCACAAATCCCATCGGAGAAATTCCTAGGAAGGCCCCATTCGAATTTAACCCCTCGCTTGCCGGCACTGGACCCCTTCTCCACAACCCAGCTCGAGAATCCCCTGCACCCGAGCTTAGAGAAGACGGAAAAGTCACCGCCATTTCGCCACACGGAGCTGTCGGTAAGTGGGTAGCAGCAGGCCGGCGAGTAACGGGCGGTTCCGTCGCAGCCGGGCATGATGAGCTTCTCGCAGGTGGCCTTACAGAGGGAGGAATCGTTACAGTCATAAAGGGCAAGAACGTTGTCGTTGGCGATGGCGAAGAAGGGGTTGGCTGAAAGTGGGTTAAATGCGTTGAAGTCATTGTACTGGCGGCAGGGAGATGGGCCGGGGAAGTCGACGAGAACGGCGCCGGAGAGGAATTCGAGGATGCGGAAGGTTTGGCCGGTGAGGTTGAGGAAAAGGGTTGTGGAGTTGAGGCAGTAGAGATGGAAAGGCTGTGGAATTAGGATTGGGCGTAGTGGGTGTTCACATGAAGAAGTGTTGAGGTGGAAGGGGAAGGGGATTTGGAGGTTGCCGCAGACGGCGCTGCAGGCGGAGGAGGAAACCGCCGCCGGACGGGGGAGGAGAAAGAGAATGATCAGAATAGAAAACAGAAATGGCGGTGGCGGTGGCGGCATGGTTAAAGATGGAAGAGGGAGAAGAAGGGAGAAGTTTGTAACAGAAATGGCAGAGAATGTTGTTGTGCCATGGCAGTGGAAGGTCGAAGGAGAAGGGAACAAATATTCAATTATGATAAAAGAGATTTGAAATAATTTTTATTTTATTAAATTATAAATTTTTTACCCATGCACATGCATCCCAAAAAAATTACTAGTCACCTAAAAATTACAGTGATACCCATCTGTCAAGACTCACTAATATCAATCTGGGTTCTGATATCTATGATCAGAATTCTGATATCAATCTGTCACGACCCTAATTTTACAACGAGTCGTGACTAAAAACAACAATATGGATGTAATGCGAACGTAAGAAATATTTGAAAAGACATCAATACGGGAATCATTGATTTCAAAACAAGAGAATTTCAATACAATGAATCAAACTGTTGACCGATTTTTTCAGTGAAAGTTTATGGGAGTAAAAAAACTATACTGATGCCCCGGGACATACTTTCATCTGTGACAATCCACGTCTCTCAAAAACGCCCTCTCTCGACCCGTGGCATCACAATAAGTCACCTACTTATAGACTCTCATCACATTACAGGATCAACAAATTCACACAGGTTTCTCATTTACTCTAGGATGTTTGGGTTCTAGTCTTATTTCTTTGGGGTCATTCTAGTTTTTCGATCACTTTCATTCAGACGTGATCTCGATTTATTCATGCATTACTCTCGCCAACTTCTGTCTTAGTTCTCCCGATCCATTTAGACCTATACCCCAAAATTAAATTAAAATTAAAATTAATATATATATATATATATATATATGTGGTGTTCTTGAAGTTGGGAGTGGAAGCGAGGAGGAAGGATAAATGGTCTGTAGAATGGGCTACATTTTCTAATCGCATCACGTCTGGGATGTCGTGCTATGTTTCGGCCGACGTGTCGAATCGAGTCTTTCAATTCACTCCCTCTCTTTCCCTTTCCCTATAAATTTTTTCTTTTTATCAAAATCATAAAAAATGTAAAAATATATTTAAAAAAATGCCAAAAGTGTATTATTTATTGTAAATATAATATTAATAAATAAATAAATAAAAGTTGATATTTCTATTAATTTTTATTATATATATATTTGCATCTTTTCTGCTGTTTTTTTTTTATTTAATTTTTTATGGGTATGCTGAAATTTGTTGTTCCAAGTCCAAGACTATGCTCTCTGAGTACTCTACGTAGTCTTAGCCAATGAATTAGTGACACTTGTTACGATGGAAACGTATGGAACGTTTAAATTTTAGAATCGAAATAATATCGAGATACTCAACTCAAGTAAATAACGTGGTCATGTTTTAGTAGATGCAGTAGAATGTCAGAGACATTAAGTGTCAGAATTTCTGATGGACGGATTCAGTTTGACTAGGGACTTCCCATTCACTTCTTCTTACACGACGAAGGACCCGTGTCTTAATCTCTATTAGTTGAAGTGGTTCGATGCTTCGAGCGAAACTCATTATTGGAATGTGACAAGTAGTGTATACCCATGTCATATTCACTACAACATGTCTGATCCACGATTATTTGTCTAACTTTACAATATTCAATTTGAACCAATCAATATTTAAAAATTATATCGAGCAAAACCAACTTGAATCACCCGTTTCTAATTATCCACCAAATATTAAATCACGTGCGTTTATTACAGCCACATTTTAACATCTTACCGTGACGAGGATATAATTGAAAAATGTTAAAATATTAGGGTCTAAAATGCAACTTTTTAAGTTATAGGGACCAAATTGCAAATATTTTGAGTTGGCAACCCTTGAATCTTGGGAGCTTCAACAAATTGATCTATGATTTAAATGAATTGTTTCAATCAAAGTGAAGAAAAGGTACAATAATAGAGAAAATCAAAGACCATTTGGGCCATAGATTTGACAACTGAGTTAACTCATCAATAAGTCTCGTTGGAAGCTGTTTAGAGGCATTCATGTCGATTAAAGAAGGGAATGAAACATTCTTTATAAACATGTGAAAACTTCTATCTAGTAGACGCGTTTTAAAACCGTGAGGCTGACGAGACTAGGAGAAAAAGGCAAATACGAAAAACGCAAGAGGTTAGAACCCAAGAGCAAAAAGAAGGCCTAAAGCCCCTCCTCGGCCTCACAATAGGACAAGGTTGAGGCTATGATTAGCTCCTAAAGGGCATGTGTCCTGACCCTATATAACACTTGTTCGGTTGGGTTTAGTTGATTGTTAATCTAATTTACAGAAGTAATGTAAAAAAAAATAATTAAAGAGTACAAAGCTTTTCCGTAAAAATCCATCAAATCAAGTAATACAAAAAGAAAAAAAAAACATTCACGTAACCTTAAAACATGTCTGGTTTTTAAAGACTTTTTATTTATTTTTTTAGTCTAAAGTTGCATGTTTGAAATTATTCCAGTGATATGATCTATCTTATTTAATTATTAAATATAAAAAATATACTTAAAAAATATATTTATTATACTTTAGGCATTAAAAAAAAAAAAAAAAAAAAAA